TGTTATAGGTACCGGAGAACCGAGGGAAGCAGGGGAAGAATTCCCAACACTTGTGAATCTTGAATTGCCTTGTTAGGTCCGGCTCTCGATGTTTGATCCATTTGCAAGCTTCAAAATTCTGCAACAGAGGAAGGCTGGGATCTACCACCCTAGGAGCTTCCATTAAATCTGGCCGGTGAAGTACTAACCAGGCCATTAGATAAGTATATGGCAGCTCCAGTTTCGGAACTGATAAGCTGGCGGAGGGTTTCTTTTTCTCCTGGGTAAACACAGAGATTAATTGCCGTAATCCACTGTGAATAGCAGCCACCATAGCGGGAAGCAAGGATAATTTGCGACCTGTAGCTATCTGAACGGCTGGATATAATACTTCCATTGGCATAGCATCAGAAGACTGGTAGGGAACTACGCACATTTTTAGCCATATAGCCAGGAAACCAGCCAACAGAGCAGTAGGGCTAATCGGAACACCGGCTTGCCACAGATAAGAATGAAATTTAGTACCATACGGAAATCCGTCTTCTGAATGGGAAGTGTAAGTCTGTGCATTTGTTTTCCCCAACAGCCGGTTGATTTCACCCGGGTTCAAAGGAGATAATCCGCATACATTTTCTGAGCGATTGTCCAAGTTTTTAAACAGATAATCGGCGAACTGTTTTAAGCTGATTTGGGGAGATTTCTTTTAGATTTGATCTCCATCTCGGCCATTGCTATGTGATAGTGGCAGGTCAATTCCCATAAAATGTCATGAGTCACCGCTGACCGATTCTTCATCTTGTTCAGCTGGTTGGTGGTCGGAAAGAACTCTTGATATGGAACATCGCCCATAGGCAAGGCAGACACCTGCATCATTTCATGCAGTGGTAGTCCGAGCTCCCCGTTCTTGGTAAAGAATGTGTTAGTGTCCGGGTTGTAGATCTCGAACAAACAGAGGAAATGACCTACACTAATCTGTAGGCCATGCATGCTGGCACGAATCGGGACATCTAACCCTAATTCTGCTAATTCTCGCCCAAAACGTTTCAGCACATAGCAAGTCATTCTGGTCCACCACCACTTGTCTCCAAAATAATGTACCCATCCATAACATCTAAAAGTCTCTCTGGGTAATACTTTTCCCGCTGCCGCTAACCGGTTCTTCACAGTGTTGGCCTGCGCTGGCGTCTCATTTTGAGGTATATTGTCTTGACCTAAGACACCTGGATGAAGCCCCCGTATTGAAGCTCTTTCACTGGAACCTGGAGTGGCCTCCTTCCCAATGAAACCACAGTGGATACGCTCGTGATTCTCAGTTAATCTCCAGAACATTTCGCGGTTAACGGATAAATTCCTGAACTGTAAGAGCGAGTGTTCTCGAGGAATCCAAGGCAAATATAGAAATGACGAGCCACTCTCATGCAACCACTGTGCAGACTTGTAGAATGCAATCTTCGGATCCTTTACGGAGTCGCCAAATAAGAAATCCGGCTTCCTTATACATTGATTTGAGTCTTGTTCTGAAATCAAGGTTGTATCCGTGATTAACCGTCGTAGAACACGACAACTACCCCGCCGAATCAACTCTTTAGCCTCTTCACCATAGTCAGATTTGAACTGGGGAGAGGATTCAATTAACGGAAGCCCCTCATAATAAGAATGGGTAATGTTACTCTGGCCCGTAACCGCATCAGCAAGAAAGGCAGTGGAAGGAAATTGAACTGATAAAAGAAATACACATAAATCGTGTAAGGATGGTCCCAAAATTTTAGAGAGAGCGATATACCTTACTCTATAAGATATAATCACTATCTCGCAGCGGGTGTGACGATTTTTCATCCACCACATGTATAAAAAGATATGCGTTACTATGCACGGGCATTATAACGGCATATGAAAACCTTTCAATACATGTGGGATGATATGAAATCGCCCCTGTGTATTATATGAAGTGTGTTTTGTCCAAGCAAAATGCGATCTACAGTGAAAGCCGATGGAAAGTTAGGTTTTTTGAACGTAAAATTGAACAAAATATCAAGGCTTATCTCAGAAATAATGCATGCACAGTCACAGGTTGCCGAAAGTCAAGATTTTGAAGAAAAGAGGGGAAACAGACCTTTCAAATCCAAATGAAATCTCTTCAAATCGAAGCACCACCAAAGTCAGAAACGAAGAGAAGAAGAAGAGGTGAAGAACTGGTCGAAAATCGCTCGAAAATCGCCCAAGAATCGCCTGAAAATCGCAAAAAAATCGACGTGAAAAACCCTAAAAACCCTAAGTCCCGACTTATATAGCAGCCGGGCGAGACAGGAAACTCTGTCTCGCTGAGCGAGACAGACAACTCTGTCTCGCCGAGCGAGACAGAAAACACTGTCTCGCCCAGCGAGACAGAAAACTCTGTCTCGCCGAGCGAGACAGTAAACTTTTCTGTTTTGCACTATGGAACAGTGGAATACTCCAATGGGTACACGAGTCTAAACTGTATTCCTACCCTCAATAGGAAGTTTCTGGAGAATATTAATTTGAATATTCTTAAGGATAACCTGGGGAACTCTCGATGGATATATCAATTCAATGATAAAAACTGAATCCACAAAAGCAAATACCAACTTCAATTCAAGATCTCGACAATGGTCAAGCGATAAACGCAACGCCAGGAGAATTTTAGCTATTCTACGAAGAATTGAATAGACTAAAAGCAGAAGAGATCAAGCATTGAAGCCATGTACAAGTCCTTCCATACGATCTATTCAGCCAAGCATTGAAGGGATCATAAGTAAAATCTATCTTATCCAAAGTATCCCATGCTCCTCTATAAAAGAATGAGTCTGGAATACTTTGGAGGGGGTATCTGTAGGCGTCAAAAAATGCTAATAGATATCCCAAGCATAGAGAAGATCACTCAAAAATTCACAAGAAAGGATTTCATACTGTTTTGAAAAAATCAAAACAAGTATGAATTGCCTCGCCAGCGAGACAGGCTTTGCTGTCTCGCCAGCGAGGCAGGCTTTGCTGTCTCGCCATTGCTGTCTCGCCAGCGAGACAGTCTTTGCTGTCTCGCCAGCGAGACAGTCTTTGCTGTCTCGCCAGCGAGACAGTCTTTGCTGTCTCGCCAGCGAGACAGTCTTTGCTGTCTCGCCAGCGAGACAGTGTTGAAATAGTCAAAATTACATTTATAACTGCCCTACACGTGTCCATTAACTGCTAAGGGACGTGGAAAACATCGTGGGCGAAAATCACGTGGATAACTGCCAAAATAACGGAGTTTGAAACGTGGAAAAGTAGTTACAGCAAGAAACTATCATTTTCCGAGACAGTATTTACTGTCTCGCTGGGCGAGACAGCAAATTTACTGTCTCGCGGGGCGAGACAGCAAACGCTGTCTCGCCCAGCGAGACAGTAAACACTGTCTCGCCGTACTGACTTCTTCGATTGTTAAGTCTTTGCAGTTACAGACCCCAGAGGCTATAAATACCTCCCTAGGGTCACTTCTGACGAGGATCGAGCATTTGTTAGAGCATTCCAGAGCAGAGAGAGAGCAGATTTGAGTTCTTTTCTTGCAACGCCTTGAAATTAAGCTTCGACTTGATTTTAAGAAGAACGACTATCTTACTTCGATAAGATATCGTTTCAATTTCTACTTCGATAACGAAGTTAGAATCATAAGCCCCTTCACGATCTGTGATTCGGCGGTCTACGAACCAAAGCGTTCCCGGCACAGGCAAAGTCCCACGAAAACAAAGATCGATAGACGATTTTTGTGTTTGTTTATCAAGAGTTGTAATTTTCGCTTTGTTGTGTAGAAAAAGTCTTATAAAAAGATTATTCTTTCGAATTTGTTGTAATCAAACAAAGTTATAATGAATTCCTCAACAGAACCGACTTTTGACTCAAACAGTGGGTGAGCTCAGCGTTGGGAAATTTGAACACGTAGATGAGTATCGCGTTTGGAAGCTGAACCAACTTGAACACGAGGGTCGAGTTTGGGCGGGCTGATGGCCTCGAATCCCGTCTGTTACGATTTGACAGCTCATAGCTGTCTATAAATAGACCGCTAGGGGTCAAATCAAGAGTCATTCGACTCTTCTTGAAATTCCAACGAAAAATTTCGTTTTCATCTCCGGCGACAACTATGGCACCCAAGAAGCCCGTCGCTCCCAAGTCCGATGCCGCTGCGGCTCGGGGATCTGCATCATCAGCGCCGGCCAGCGGCGCCGCTGCTCAGGCGAATGTGGCGTCCCAGCTTCCTTTGATTGGCGGTGAGTATGACCTCCGTGGTCATTAAACTTGCTTCGACAAGTTCTGACCTTGAGATCAACGAGGAAACTCGTTTCAATAACGCGGGGCTAGACTCCGTCGTTTAATCTTCTTGACGAGGGGTTCGACCTCCGCGTCTTAGATTTTTGACGCGAGGGTCGACCCACGCGTCTGAACTTTCTGACGTGAGGCTCGACCTTCGCGTCTGTGATTTCTGACGCGAGGTTCGACCTTCGCGTCTGAGCTTTCTGACGCGGGGTTCGACCTTCGCGTCTGAACTTTCTGACGCGGGGTTCGACCTTCGCGTCTGAGCTTTCTGACGCGGGGTTCGACCTTCGCGTCTGAGCTTTGCTTTTGAGTTGTCTAACTCTTTTCTTCTTTTTGTAGTGCGACATACCAGTGAGCCTCTTCCTTTTCGCCACCACTTCGGACATGAAGGTGGTGCGGATATGAACATAACTTTCAGTTCGCGTTTGGAACTACCAGTCTTCCGATTTAGGGAAAAGAGTCGCATGGAACTGATCACCCAAGCTTCTCATGACACTCTTAGGACGTTGGTTTCGGACGCTCGACTTGAAAGTCCAAGCCGTAAGCCAATAGTCAAACCTGGATACCTCTTCGAGGACTTTGTTGACTTCGAAGCAAGCACTGCATATGATGGGGACTATAAGTGGCTGCGGAAAGTTGAGGACCGCAACCTTTTCTTGCCCAATATGGAGAGGATGTTCCCCATATCTTATTTCCAATGCGCTTCTGTCCCGAGGCGTATGGATTGGCCCTTGGTTAAGGATCAAGATGGGGTTGCTCTCAGAACTCTGACTTTCCATGGGGTCCGCACAGTTGGTTATAATCGACAGGTGACAGCTTTGCGGTCGAGTTTATTCGCTAAGGAGTATCCCCTTGGCGAAGTGCCTAGCCCGGCAAAGACCTTTGTTAAGAGGTTCTTGGAAAAGAAGGGAGAGTTCCCTGCGCAAGGATTTAGAACTCCTGGCTGGGTTCATTCTCCAGCGGCGGGATGGTGGGCCCAGATGACCAAGTTTGTTCTAAAGGAATTGGAAACTCCCCTCGCTCAAGCTGGGTTGTTGGTTCCTGTGCGGGCTACTGAGTTTGGGATCGTCCAGAGCCACTTTCACTTCTTCACTATACTGGAGAAGTATAATCCTGATAGTTGCACATTCTTCACCCCTGTGGGGGAGCTAGGCTTCGCTCTTCACGAGATGCATGAAGTCTCGGGTCTTGTTCTCGGGGATTTGCCGTATGAAGAATTTGTTCCGGGATTGGCGGAACTCCAGATTTTAAAGAAGACCAGTCCGGAAATTTATGCCACTCTCTGGGAAGTCATGTGTCACTTCCACATTTGCATGCAGCTAACGGGGGCCCGTGGAGGCGGCATTAAGCAGGTGTCTTGGGCGGAATATTTATTCCAGAACCTGACCACTAAAGGGGCTTCGGTGTCCCGATTGCCTGCAAGTACTTTGGAGGAGGTTCAGGCTCGAATTGACGATGCTACCTCCCACTACACCAATGAGGCCAAGGAAGATGTTTTCCCGGCTCATACAGAGTTTGAGAGCTTCCATTATCAAGCTCTGATACCAATTTTCGACACGGCGTTGCTAGCCGGATTCTTGATGTTGTGGCTCAAATGTTGTGTCGTCCCTACTAAGCCGGTCGATGCCCTTGCCGTTGAGGTGGTCTACCCAGCTGTCCTTTTGGCGCATGGGAGACCTATGAGCCTCCTCAGTGATATGGTGGGTTGTCTGCAGTATGGACTGCGGGAGTTGGCCTCTGACTTCGTTGGTGTTACAGAGGTGGAGTCCGAGGGCCATAAGACTTTCAAAACTCCCAATCCCAGGGTGCCAATGCCATATACATATTTGATGGCTTTGTACGTGCTTCACTGTCCTTCTTTAATGAGTGCAGCCTCTCCTCCGGGAGACTCATTCATCCCATTCGTGCAACGACTAGAGTCTGCGAAATGGGAAGGAGGGTACATGGTTAGAATTCGCCAAATCTTAGCGCGAGACACCAACTTCCACATTTATCGCTGTTTCCCTGATTTCGAAGGCGGCATCTATGGCGCAGAATATCAGGACGTAGCAGGCCCTAATGGATTCACTCATTTGAGCGGGGGTGTTTTCCATTGGCTTCTATCCATCAGGCCAGGCTACCTGATCTTTCGACAATGCGTCAACTGTTTCGTTGAACCTTACCAACCCTATAGGTTCGCTCGCCAATTTGGGTATGATCAGTTGTACGTTGGGAACCCTCGTCCTCAACTCTCAGTTATAGGCAATCTGTATGAAGGGGCCAGGGCTTGGTATTATTCTGTAGCAGGTTGTACCAAAGCCGTCTTCAAGCTTCCCCAAAAAACTGCCAACTCCTACACCTCCATAAGCTTCTGCAATTGGTACCATGCCGCTTCTCAGACTCCCAACTTCAACTTGAATACATCGTGCCTGAAAGACATTAGGCATATGTATAATTTAAGAAAGGGTTCCAAGACGTCTCGCTTGAGGGGAATCGATGAGTTTTTATCCATCGAGAGTCAGCCTGCTG